TTTACCAAAAAAAACAAACAAACTCTCAGCTTAATTATTTCTAAACCCCTGGTGTAAACCACAACTTCAGTAAGCCCTGGACTCAGGTTAGAGACCTCACATTGTTTGGACCCCTGTGTGGCCTGCTGGGTTCTCAGTCAACACAAACAAGCCAAATCAATAAAGGAAGGAAAAGCCAACAACTTTCATTTTGCAAGATATTTCCCTTTAGTCACAACAGCTGAAACAACTGCTGATAGTATCAGAGAAACCCCTAAGAATTTTTCACTGTGTTGCAATTATGACTTGACTGTTTTAAGCCATTTTTAAGTGCAATGACAGAAAGGCAGAAGACATAATATAGCCTAGAATTATTTATTATGTATACTTTTTCCATACTAGCCAGGAGTATATAACAAATTTTATATTTATATAATAAATTAAACTACTACAACCTGGACCTGGCTACGTGATACACCAACCATCACAACTATCTCAGTATTTAGACATGTAGACTACATTTGGACTAAGACATAAGACTTTTTAATACCTTCTAGGGCCTCTTTAATCCACTGCTTTTTAGAGACTTTAATGCCTGTAGACAGCCTGCAGAGGATATTATGTAATTTAAATGTAATATTGCAGTAAAGCAGATGAATCATTGTTATGCTTAAGCCAGGAACTCACTTTGTAACCTCTATAGTTATGAAAGAGATTGATGTCTAAACAACATGTACATCAGCCCTGCATCTGGACAGTGAATAAGGACAAGAACCACTCATTGTACAGTATAATGTAACTGTCCATTTAAACTGACAGCCATTATACATCACACAAGGTAGGACAGGGAGGCAACCTTTAAGTGGCAGCAGTGTAATTATGTGATATATGTTGGGTATGTACTGTATATGATCTAGTTGGGTCCCACTCCACCCGCACTCTGCCAAAGGCTTTTGTAATAAACTCAGACATCATGAGCAGCTCTGGGGCAAAGCATCTATATCCTTTACCCAGTTATAAGCTGAACTACTTTAAGAGGAATTAAACTTCACAGCTCACCTGATCTGTGCCTGATTGGTCCATAATTTATTGCTGTCTATATTATTGTCTCTTTCACTGAAGTTGTACAACTTCAAGAGGCTTACAAAATGTTTGGAGAAGCAATGGATGAGGGCAACTCCCCTCCCAAAAAGACATTTTTTTTGAATAAGTGCCAGGTTATTTTACACATTAAGTCCACATTAATCATTTTTATGGGGGGCAGCTGTGTTGATGTGCAGCCTTACCCCAGGTACTCATGCACCGTCTGCTCATCTTGGCTGGTTTGTTGTGTGGTTTTCTAGGTGTTGATAATTTTAAGAAACCTCAAAACATTCCCCTTTGACTGATAACAGTCAAGACAATGTGTGTTGAAACATTCTTCAACAGCAGTTTACGCAAGAATAACTCATGTGTGTGGACTGTCATGTCTTGTTGTTCCACACCACTGTGCGATATGTAGCACCTCCATATTTCAACAAACTCGAACAAAAAGGCACTAAGTTCTAGTTAATTCAAGATTTTTTGCTTCCATGTTCTAACAAAGCACAATTTAGTTGTTATAGGTTTTTTTTTAAGTTTAATAATTTAGCAGTGCTATAAAGATCAGTTAAAAACAGAAAAAACATTTTGGGTTGCCAGGTTATAAAAACTCAAATGTTTTCAGCCTTATTTGTTTTTAGCTATATTGTAATAATTCAGCTTTAATAGTCAAAAATACATTTTTAAATTATCATGTATTTCTCATTTTCTAATACTAATTTCTGCAGGTATAATATTAAATAATAAATAAATAAAACTTGATTTAGAAAACTTTACACAAAAACATCGCATTTATTTAATATTTTAAATATATGCATACCTTTAATTTTAGCGAGAAGCAAAATGAGTAATTTGTCAATCCAAAGTCAGATTGTGTAATACTAACCAGAACAAAAGGTTTAGTAATGATATTTAGTTTCAATTTCAGTTTTTTTTTTTTACCATTTGCTGACTAAGCTCAAGCCTACAAACAATAACACACTATAGGTCAAACCAAGGCTGCTGACACACAACTGCAATTACTCTACAACTGAATTTGTTCGGATGTAATTAATGTAAAAGCTTCGTGAGAACGTGGCTTACTGTATTTTTATTATTATGCTTGCTTAATGAAAAGGAGAAAGCCTGTGATTCAGGAAATACTGCAGGACAATAAACTACAGTAAGTGTTGAGCGGAACTTAAGAGCACAAACTGAGATACTCTCAGAGGGATATCAAGCTAAACAAGTCTTCTGCTACATCAAGATCTCTGCAGTCCAATTAGATTTCAAGAGTTCAATTGGCTATAATGAGCACGAAAGAACAAAATGGCTAGTTTTGGATCAGTTCTGATAAAGCTGGCAAATCCTGGGGGATGACTGAGACCAAAACCCCAGCTCACAGTGCTAATGCTAATCTGAGTGGGGAATTAAGAGGTGATGCTGGGAAGCCAGCTCTTAGTGGCTGAGGCAATGGCTAACCTCACATGCACTTCAGTGTATTTGAACAAGGATTTCTCACATCAGTGGTGCAGGCAGCTTGTTTAAAGCAGAGGGGGGAGGGGGGGCTGGAGAGGGGGAGGTGGCTTGGAGCAAGCTATTTTTTATCTGGATTCCATGAAGACAGCTGCCATCCTCCTGTATGCGAGACTGCACCTACTATCATTAGGAACAGTGAGACAAGAAATGTGTCATCAAGTATTTCTTATATCTGGTGCAATGGAAAAAATACAAACAAAAAAAAAATTGCTATGCTAATGCTTTCATAGAGGCCTGTTCTGGACTGGGTGCTGAAAATCTCATCTGCTTTAGCTGAAAGAATTAAACTTCATGCTCTGCAACTGTTGAAGTATCAAGCTGCAGTTCCTCACCTGAGACAACAAACGGATCGTGTGATGACCACACGCTACCAAATTAAAGCCATTATCTTACAGCAAAACTACAAAGCAAATCAAAAGAGATTTTGGTTGGTTGACAAAATGGCTCCAGTCTGTAGCTCATATGTTTTGGAGACTGCTGGGGAATGTGAATTTGACATTTCAGCAGGTGTCTACTACAGGTCGCCTGTTATGACCCCGACATTCCCCAATGCCACTTCAGAGCAGCCCGGACCTCTGGCATCCGTTTGACGAGAGACATGAGATAAGGGTCGACAGAGTGACAGTGACATGCTCCACAACCATAAGCTGGGAATGTAGTTCTGTTAATGGTGGTCACATGCCACAACATCAAGGCTCTGATATAAGCCATAGACCCCACATCAGCATTCTCTCAGCCCAATTTAGCTCTGACTGGAAGTCAATACATTCCTCACTGAGGATGGAGCTGCATATCAAGAGGGATTCTGGCATTAATTAGTGAGGCATCTGAACATGGCCTAGGGCTAGCTGCTATGCTAGTCTCCATGCCACCTTGAATGAAACTTCAGATTTTAATTTTCCTTCTATGTAGGACTGTTTTCAAATATGTTGTGTGGAATGATGTTTTAGGCCAAATTGTGTTAATAAATTCAATAAAATGTGGCAAAATCTAAACATCTTCCTTCTTTGCAAGATCATGACAGTTATGTGAGGATGATGACGGCTTTGAGCAAGGTCTTGACTATGACCAAATTTTTAAGTTACTATGCAAGAATGTATAAGCACTATATTAGTCAATAAGTCACATTGTGATCAGACAGGATTTTTTACTTTTGTTCTCAGTGCTGCTCAAGAAAATCTAAATGTAACGCAACATATTCCGTGGAGAAACACTTAATGAGCCTTTAACATTAATGTTGCCACAATGTTAAAGAATGTTCATCGTAAACAAATATTAGTTTGGTCGATGTCATTTATTTCTACTTTTTCTTGTAAAAATATACATTGAGGGGATTTACTCCAAAAAACACGTGAAGAGGAAAACAACTTTAAATGTCAAACCACAGTTCTTTCTCATAGATCAAAATGTGTTCAATTTAATTTTAGTTCATTCTTGATGTGTGTACATCTGTGATAAATCCATTCAAGTCCATGGACAAACGGTATTTTATGTAACTGAGAATATTGTACGTAATTCCATGAAAGACTGAAACGTCAAGAACCTTTTTTGTTTTTTGCAGAAAAGTCTTTTAAAATGCTAGACAGAAGGCATGAATGGAGTATGAATGTTAAAATAATAAAGAATATAAAACTGAAGTGTGGCCAACTCATTTAATTTCACCAATATGTAACTACACTTTCTAAATGTGGTCACTGACCTGTTTACAGGATTATTTTCACAAATATAGCTGAAAATGTTTTTTTCCAGGACCCTCACACAGACCTGTCCTGTACTTGTATGAATACAAATACCTGGTTCTTTTACCTCAAGAAAATACACAGCATAAACTGAGAATGAACTGCACTTTGCACACAGCTTGAATAATTATTTTTTCAAAAATATACAAATGTTATCTGCAAAAAAAGCATCTTCTAATGTACTCTAATTATCCCTTCAACCCAAAGGCATCACAACCTTCCACCTTTCCTCCTGTTGTGTGGCACAAAGAGCCTGATTGCAGAATGTACTGCAGCGGTGGCATCTGACTCAGAGATTTAATAAGACTAGCTTCTCCAGGTGGCAAATGTTTGTCCACTTGATCTGGAAAAAGGAACAATACACAAAGTAGAAAGGCAGAGATTAATGAAAAAGATCTTCTAAGAACAAGCATTAGAATTACCTCTTAGGTAGGTAGGACTTTATTGATCCCACAATGGGGAAATTCCTGTTTAAAAGATGTTTAAAACAAATGCACAGAACTTGTATTGAAACTCCATGTTAGATTTCCAAAGATACCAAATACTTAATACTGAATTACTGTACATGGAAATGTGTGTAAAATAATGTCAGCGACCTACACAATCTTCCATTTGATATACTGTAACTACACCATCGTGTAAAATAGAAAATTTTAGCAAACAGTATACTGGATCTGGATATCTATCTCAGCATAAGAATAACAAAGCTTAAATCAAGACATAACATAAGTGACTTTGAGGAGTGCGTTTTTGAAAGTAGTATTTTAACTGGCGCAAGAAAGTAACCGAAGCAGCAGCAGAACCTGATAAGACAGTTTCATGTTACAACCAACAGACAAGAAACAAAATCAAACACTTTTCTTACCCCTTGTGTCTTTCTAGAACTGGTGACACTTAAAGCCTGCAGTCATCCAAATCAATGCAAAATTCAGAAACTGAATTTCATTTTTACACATTGTGGAATTATTCGTATGTTATCAGGAAAGAAACGGTAACACGATTTCAAATTAAAATAACCTTTAAATGACAATATGTGGGAAGGTCAAGTCAGGACTCAGAACAATGACCAGAGTAGGTTTAAGATGGGCCTGTAATTTATGGTTATCAGTTTTTAGAGTATGGTTCGTTTCTGTTTTGGCAGCCATGACGAGCATGTGTAAATGGTAAATGTGTACATGATTAACAGTCATGTATTCACAGTGTCAACACAGGAGAAAAGCCACATGTACACAGTAAGGCAAAGTCATGACACTGCATTAAAAAGGTTTATCAGCAATACTGTGATCTTTTATAACTCTTTTATAAGTTCCCTTAAGGGTTTTGCTGTTATTCTATTTATCTGTACAGACATACTAGCAAACAATTACTTTCATTTGAATAATTTTTGCAGAGATGCTGCATCCATCTTAACACAATTTTATGTTCTTGCAAATAATGACAAGATTGATAAAATCAACTTAAATTCAATTCAGTGTTTCCACTAGAATTTTTTCCAACATGGTTGAGGTGGGGCATTAAATTGCAGTACAACAGGAGGTTAATTTTTCTTTAAATACATTTAAAAAGATTGAGGCTATTTGGCAAAAAACAAATAACTTTTGATGTGGCAGCAATTCATAAAACATGTACAGCTTCACAAGTCTGGTACATGATAAGCATTAAATAGTATAGTGGAGGAAAAGCAGAAAAACAATGAAAAAGAACAATAGTACATGAATGTGTCCAATGGGCGAAGCCTTGTGAGGTGACACTAAATCTGAAAGATTCTACTGAAGCAAGGCAAACTTCAGCAGAGGTACAGTTCATACACAATAAAAACAAAAAATACATTCAAACTAAATTCATTGACCAGACTTACTGGTTTGCAGACCCAAAGGTGTTTCCGGAGAACCCTACAAAATGGAAAAACAAGTGATTAATGTGGTTATTGTAGCAATAAAACCTTGTGACTGTCTGTGTGCAAGAAGATCAAAACCCCACAGTCCTAACGAGGAGTGAGGCGGGTATTGAGTAACGAAGGGGGGGAACTGTGTGGTCTGATGTAAATTATATACAACTAGTGACAATAATGGGCTTCAAGCTGACAAGACAAAGTGAACAACACAAAAATCACAAAGAAACAAGTAGGAGGAACATGGCAAGAGCTGAAAAGACAAACTGAAAGACATACATGAACATCTGTGCAGAGAAAGACCTGATGGATGTGTGATGGTGGGACATGTCAGAGTCAAGTCCCATAACATGATGACCATTCTGGTGCAGTTTGATCTTGATGATTGTTGTAATTATACTTTTACTGGTACATAAACTTGACTTTGTTGCTTTGTGGTAGTATACATTATACAGCAATATGACAGGGAACCCACCTATGTTAACCTAATCATGATTAGGTCCACAGAGGAGCAAAGTGGACTTTTTGCATGTTTGTTCTAACTGGCAACTTGTAACGAAAAGAAGTGAATGAATGTCTTTTGTAAACCTTCATCTGGTGCATAATCTGCACTGACTGGTTGCAAGAGTCTTTGCTTTTTCTGTTGCTTTGTTGTCATTATTATACAACTGTATGCTGGAAAATTAACTGGCTCTACTTGAGCCACTGAATATGCCGTTTGCAATATTTAGTGACGATAAGCAAGAGGACATTTGAAGATGATGAGAGGAGAACAGAAATTTAAAAAAAGGCAACTGGAGTCATAGTCTCACCTCCCGCTTGTGGCTGCTGTCCAAAGCCTGAGAAGCTGCTAGGCTGATTTCCAAACCCAGAGCTCTGCTGGGCCAGGGTCCCGAATGACGGAGTGCTCTGATTGGCTAGAGCACCAAAGGATGGGGCACTGGGAGGTGAAGCAAACCTGAAAAGAGAAGCAGGTACAGAGGATGTGATATGGAAAAACCACAAGGTAGAAAGTAAAATTAAAATAAATAGAGACACTGATGAAACAAAAACAAGTGAAATTATTAATGCTGGATGCCATTTAGGAGTTACGTTTTAGACAAAAAGAAAGATGGGGGATAAGAGCAATAAAGTGAATCCAGGATATATTCCTTTTTATAGCTCCTTCGAAGTAAACATGCAAGCAAGGAAGAAGGGCAGATGGTGTGTATGTGTCAGGGTACTAGAGGATTGGGAAATTGGGGGGGGTGGGTGGGGTGTTAGGCAGTAATCCCTTCTACACGATCCACATCCAATGAGTGAAAAGAGAAAATAAGCACAACAGAGGGAAAGAAAGAGAGGGCAGGCTGGTTTAATATGCAGCATGACCCGGACTGAGATTATGTGAGGGGAATAATCTAGTCCTCCACCAAGCTTCAGTATTTGTGTTCAGTCATACTCACCCCTATCAAAAGACACGGTCTGCTAAATCATTTGAATGGAAAGGGTAAGAATTTAAAAGATGACTTAATCCTTTCTTCTGTAGCCAACATGGAATTTTACTTGGCTTACTTGCTAGGAGCTATGAAGATGTTCCCATTCACTGGTCTATTGTATTTCATAGTAAAATGCCATTTCATTATAATGAAGTTATTACATTATAAAAAGTAGGGCTGTACAATTACTTACATTAAAATTGCAATTTAAATTATCGGCCACACTGCGATATAATTAGTAAAATGATTCTGCAGCACTTGCATTGGCGGGGAGTTTGGTTACATTAAACCCAGTGCTTCTAATTTAATCCCCACAAAGTGCCCAGAGCCAGAAGGGGTGGAAACAGACAATCTACCATATAGAAGGTAGAGATGTAAGCACAAACTACTTGGAGGCACAATAAAAACAAGAGCAAAATAATTCAGTATTCAATAAACTGGTGATGATGAGGAAGCAGAACCAACAAGCTGCAGTGCTTAAAATGTTGCATATTTATTTTGTCAGATGGATGAATACTGAGCAAACTCCTTCCTATAGAAACTTTACAAAACTTCAACCTGTCAGGGTAAGAAAAAAAAAACTGAATGTAGTATGTAAATGCTGTGGATCGAGCACTGTGAAAGCATCTTCATGTCATTTACCAGACAAGCCTTCAGTGTGGGCTTTCGTTCGGGCGCCTAGTGAGCCTTGAAACAGGTACATTTTAACTCAACACTATCAAGTTAATAGAGTGTTTAACAGTGTAGTAAATTCTGTCCTTCAGTTACTGTGTTATGCTTGTGCAATGGTGCAGTGAGCAAGAGAGAACAGAGATGTTCTGATTTCCAAAGAAGCTGCAGGCAAAATCCTGGTCTAACACGCCCCTCTGTGCTGCACAAACAGCCAAGCGACACTAATATGTTCATATTCTTAGTGAATTTGTTCATATCAGAAAGCACAGAAAAACACCTTGCCACTGGTGTACATGTGGTGTATTGGAGGCCCTGCACGTAGCATAGGTGTACCGAACTCTGACACCAGTTGTACTGACTTTTGTGGGCACAGCCAGTCACTGCTGACCACTGCTTGAACTGAGGACAAACTAATTAGCCTACTTGTGTTTCTAAATTTCCCAAACTGTATAATGAATATCCAGAAACCAGGGTCTCAAGAACTGCTGATTAAAAATGAGAAGGTGAGACATTTTAAACAAACAAACAAAAAAAAAAACAACCAAAACCAGGATGCAGGGGCAGTAGTCCGAGCAGAGCCTCCCAGACTTCCCTCTCCCCAAACACCTCCTCTAGCTCCTCAGGAGGGACCCCGAGGCGTTCCCAGGCCAGCCGGGAGACATAGTCTCTCCAACGTGTCCTGGGTCTGCCCCGAGGCTTTCTCCCAGTGGGACATGCCTGGAATAGGTGTCCAGGAGGCATCCTAAACAGGTGCCTGAGCCACCTCAACTGGTTCCGCTCAACATGGAGGAGCAGCTGCTCTACTCCGAGCCCTTCACGGGTGACTCAGCTCCACACCCTATCCCTAAGGGTGTGCCCAGCCACTCTCCAGAGGACACTCATTTCTGCTGCTTGTATCTGTGATCTCATTCTTTTGGTCATGATCCAAAGTTCATGGCCATAGGTGAGGGTAGGAACATACCGTAGATTGACCAGTAAATTGAGAGCTTCGCCTTACGACTGAGCTCTTTCTTCAGCACAACAGACCAGTACAGAGACCGCATTACTGCGGACGCCGCACCATCTGTCATTCTGCCACTCCATTTTTCCCCTCACTCGTGAACAAGACCCCATGATACTTAAACTCCTCCACTTGAGGGAGCAACTTGCCCCCAACCCGGAGAAATTCACCTTTTTCTGGCTGAGAACCATGGCCTCAGATTTGGAGGTGCTAATTCTCATCCTCACCACTTCACACTCGGCTGCAAACCCCTCCAGTGCATGCTGTAGGTCTTGAACTGATGAAGCAAACAGAACCACATCATCCACAAAAAGCAGAGATGAGATTCTGTGGCCACAAAAACACCCTACGTTCCCTGGCTGGTGCCTAGAAATACTGTCCATAAAAGTAATGAACAGAATCGGTGACAAAGGGCAGCCTTGGTGAAGTCCATGGTCATATGCCTTCTCCAGAACCACAGAACACATGTAGAATGGCCGAGCAAACTCCCATGAACCCTCCAACACCCTAGTGAGGGTACAGAGCTGGTCCAGTGTTCCACGGCCGGGGCAAAAACCGCATTGTTCCTCCTGAATCCAAGGTTCGACTATCGGCCGGAATCTCCTCTCCAGTACCCTGGCATAGACTTTCCCAGGGAGTCTAAGAAGTGTGATCCCCTTACAGTTGGAACACACTCTCTGGTCCCCCTTCTTAAAAAGGGGGACCACCACCCCGGTCTGCTAGTCCAGAAGCACCGTTCCCAAACTCCACGCAATGCTGCAGAGGTGTGTCAGCCAAGAGAGCCCCACAACATCCATAGACTTCAGAAAGTCATGAACAATCAGCATTAATTACTCAGTGAATGTCCAGTATTGTCCCTGTACATATCTCACCCTAAAACATTTCTAAAAACAATTAAACCTCAGAGCATAGCTCGGCTTCTTACCCAAATCCTCCCATGCTTGCAGCAGCTGTTCCTTCTCCGAACACTTTACCAGCTGAGGATCCCATGGCGTTGCTGAAGGAAGGGCTGGTGCCAAACGATGCTGTGCCACCAAACGCTGGGGTGCCACCAAATGCTGGGGGGCTCCCAAACACTGGAGCACTGCCAAAAGCACCTACATA